GTGGGGTATTCTGTTTTGACAGCTAAGTACAGAATTGGTTTTTAATACATTCCTTGCTTACATTGAAGGATTTCTCTGCTGTTAGAAGCTTTATAAATTTTACCATGAAAGAGTGCTGTACTTTGTCAAATGTTTCTCTGTGTTTATTATGGACATTATCAGTTTTCCCCTATATCTTATTAATATCATGCATTATAATGATTAATTTTTATATATTGAAGCAGCCTTACATTCCTGTGATGAGTCATCTCACTTAGTCATGGTCTCCTGCATATCTTGTTAGTTGTGATATGCTCACATGGGGTTGAGGAATTTGTTTCAATATTTAAAAGGCATATTGGCTTGTAGTTTTATTTCCTTGAGATGCCTCTTTGATATTGTAGGAATACATGCATAGAAGGGTTAATTGGAAAGTGGGCCTTCATCTTATTTTCGCAAAGGAGTTTTCATAAAGGATTAGCATTAATGCTTCTTTAGACATTTGGAGAAATTCAACAGTGAACTCATCCAGTTAAACTTTAGTTTCTTTTTTCATTGAATAATTTATTGTCTTTACCTATCATAATTTTGCTTTTCTTAGGTTATTAGTGATGACCTCAATTTAATTTATGATTTAAGAAACATGAGTCATTTGACTTGGGGGGGGGGGGCTGGCTAGTTGAATGTGTACCAATTTTTTTCATCTCTTCAAAGAAAAAAGTCAGTGATATTTTTTCTTTCCTTATTCTATATTTATTTTACTTCAGCTCTAATATAATCTATGTTGTCTATTCTAATATGAGTATTGAAAATCCCGGTATGTGGAGAATTGCTTCTCTCTTTCTGCTTTAATGGCTTGCTTTTCTTTGACTTTCAGCAGTTTGACTGTATGCATCTGTATGTGGGTATTTCTGGGTTCCTATGCAGAATTCATAAAGTTACTTAAATGTGTAGATTTTGGTTCCCTTTGGATTTGGGAAGGCTTGAGCCACTCTTGTTTAATTGTCTTGTCTGCCTTTCCCTTCTTCCATGGTAACACCCTCATTCTATGCATGCTAACACGCTGCATTATACGACACAGATCTCTCAAGCTCTGTACGTTCCTCCTTATTTTTTCTGTTTTTAAAAATGTGTATTTCAATCCACATACCTTCATAGCTGATAACTATTTTGTAGGGAGTTACATTCGCAATGTCTAGTGGATTTTTCATTTCAACTATTGAATTCTTCATCTCTAGAATTTCTATGTGGCTTTTAAAATATAATTTATTTTCTTTATTGATATTCTGTATTTGATGGGACATTTTTCCACAGTTTCCTGTAACTCTTTAGACATATTTTCCTTTAGATCATTTAATACATTTATAATAGATAATCGAAACCTTTTCTTAACAATTCCAAAATGTTTTCTTTGTCAGGTATATTTCTACTATATGGGTCATATGTTCCTAGTTTTACCATGTTTCTTTATTTCATACTTAATATTCTTTTTTTGAAAACTGGAAATTTTAAGTAACATAGCAATTCTGAAAATGATATTCTCTAACTAAAGTTTGTTTTTGTCATTAGTGTCTGTTTGTTATTGTTAATGTGGCTGTTTGCATTTCAGTGACTTTACTGTAGGAATTCTGTGAAGTCTGTATTCTTTGCTGTGTCAATGAGGTTTCTGTTTGGATTATCACTCAATCCAATATCACACAGAAATTACCTTAAATGCTTTGCCCCTGAAGTGGTCAGGTTGTCCAACAGCTAAGTTGTTGGTTAAGACACTTGAGTCCCAAAGCAGAGTGTCTGGGTTCATGTCCTGGCCCTGCTCCCAAGCCCAGCTTCCTGCCAACATGGAACCCAGGAGGTAATGGCTCAGGCAGTTGGGTCCCTGCCACCTGTGTGTGAGGCCCTGATTGGCTTTCAGGTTTCCAGTTTTGGCCTTGTCCCAGGATCAGCACTGCAGGCACTCGGGGAGTGAATCAGCAGATCAGAGCTCTCTGTCATTCCGTCTCCCTTGATTATGTAATGCCTTGCATCAGTAGGTTTTCAGCCTCATTAAAGAATGTGTATATGTTTTGTCAAGTACTGGGTCCTCTGGTGGTTTACAACTCAGCCTTAGCCTTCATTTCCTACTTGTATAAACCCTAATAGTGAGTCAAAAACAAGGTTTGAAGGCCATCTCAGAGCTGTCCTGGGAATGCGCACCATCCGGGACCTGCACAGGTGTTTCCAGATCCCTGGAATGTGGGGGCTTTCAAAGTCCCCTGTAAACATCTCACCTCCTGTATTTCACACATATTACATATATTTTACATATGTTACATATATATGTTTCTATTTGTAGTCCTTTCAGGGTTCCTATGTAGAGTTCATAAAGTTACATATATATATATATATGTTGTTATATATATGCTGATATGTATATATATTTATATATATGTTGTTCAGCTTCTTGCTTGCTTTATCTGTTATCACTGTCTCACACAGCAATCATGCTGAACTCCTGTCACTGATTATTTTGGCAAATACAGCACGCTGGCCGCAGTGCGCCAGCCATAGCGACCATTTGGGGGGTGAACCAATGGAAACAGTAAGACCTTTCTCTCCGTCTCTCTCTCTCTCACTGTCTAACTCTGCCTGTCAAAAAAAAAAAAATACAACTGGATCCTACTGGAAGTAGTAAAACTATTTCTAGTTATAGATGGCATGATTTTGTATATAGAAAATCATAAGGCAAACACAAATACATTGTTAGAGCTAATAATAAGGTTTTACAATATAAAAAGACACAAGAGCCATATGCAGAAATATTTCTATCCACTTGCCAAGAACAATTTTGAATACAAATTTAGTGAACACAATCAAAAAAGATTAACTTGCTTAGCAATAAATTTAACAAAAGGGATGGGCACTGGTCTAGCAGGTAATATGCAACCTAGAATGCCTGCACCCCATATTGAAGTGCCTGGGTTTAAGTTCTGGCTCCACTGTGCAACTCAGCTCCCTACTAATGTACACTCTGGGAGGCAGATGATTCTTCAAATAGTGGGGTCCCTAGCATTCATATTCTCTCTCTGTCTCTGTCTCTGTCTCTCTCCCCACTCCCCCTTAGTCTGCATTTCAAATAAAATACAACACATGAAAAGTATAAAATAGTCTAATGAAGTTAAAGAAACCCCAAACAAACAGGAAGACATTCCCTGCTCATACATCCAGAGATTTGTGGATTTAAGATGATAACACATCCCAGCATGCATACAGATTCCACGTAAATCCTGTAAAACTGACACCTGACCTTTCCATAGACGTGGAAAAGCTAATCCTCAATAGACAAACAATTTCAAATTTAAAAAAATGGAAAACTAACTAAAAAATCCACTTGAAATCTATAGTTAATTAGCACAGTATGATACTGGCATATGAATAAACATGTAAATCAATTAAATGTAAATCAATTACATAAAGGAATTATTAGAAATTTTGTATAGAAGCCATCACTTACAATTATGCTAACTGATTTGAAAATAGATTTTCAAAACAATTCAATGGAAAAAGAATGATCTTTTCGTCAAATTGTGTAGGAAAAACTATTGAAAAAAAGCCAATTGAAAAAAATGAAGATACATATCAGCTCACCACTCACATGAAAATGTACTTATACTTGATCATGGACATAAATGCAGTAACTAAACTTTAAAGCAGTTTAGTGGGACTTCCAAGATGGCTGAACAGGGTGTAGCCACCTTAGCTTCAGCTGCTCTGGGATTTGAAAAGAACAAAGGAAGCACCATATTTCCAGGGGCCTGATGGATGGAAATTTTCAGCAAAGAAGAAAAAACACATTGAAGACTCCATGGGAAAACAAGAGAGAACACAGAGACACCTCTGTACCCATCCATGTGGTACAGCCAGCTGCTGGCTGCAAGCTGCCATCTTGCCCCATCAAGGTAGGAAAAGATTGCCGTGTGCCCGACCACATGGAGTTTAAGCTGAGAGGGAACACCACAGTCACGTGCTCACTTTTCCCTCCGCTTGGAGACCCGACTGGGGTCTGAGCAAATGCCGGGATTGGAGCAGGGAAGCTGCCTTGCTTCCTCCTTTCCCCCACCCCGCGGCCGTCAGGATGAGACACCATCTTCTTAGAGGTGAGAGGAGTGAGGAACCTGTGTCCCTGATGATATTGCCTCAGGAGAACCTCGTGGTCACATTGACTTTGAGTCTGGCCTGGGCACTGGTGGAGGGCAGGGCACCCACCTAACTCTGTGAAGGGAGAACACATTGCCTGCTTTCCTCTCCCCCAGCAATGGCTCCCAGCAACAAGCAGGGAGGAGGCACCAAGTTGATGGGACCTGTTCAGGCAGCCTCAGCCCATGTCCACGCAAGTAGGAGATTTTATCTGAGGGGTGAGTCTGTGGTCCCTGCTGATTTTAAGTCTGTCCTGGAATGGCTTGGCAGGGGGGCGTGTATCCACTAAAGCCTGTAAGGCATTTTCCTCCCCTAACTCTATCACAGGCGACTATGAGCACACTGCCAAGGTGGAACACGGAGAGGCAACAGGCTATGGGAACAGCTCAGCTCTCTCCATGGACAGAGCAGGCTCCCAGGGCTGTGAGTGGATCCTCTGCTCCCTGTGACTGTGGGAGCCCTGCATTCTATGACTGGGAATTCTGTAACTGCAAAATAAGGCAGCCGGTGTAGCTGGGTCTCTGGGTAATAACTCTGTCTGTCTTCAGAGGACTAGAGTTCCCTGACTGCTTGAGCTGGATCATGGCAGAGGGTCCTGCACTTACACTTAGGACCCCACAGATCCTTTGCATGGCTCATAAGCCCGAGTAGGTGTTATGTGCAGCCACTGTGGGCTCAGTCCAGACATTGATCACCTTGGCACAGAGATGATGAATTTGCTGACAGTAAAGATCTACCAAGCACAGTTGGCTGTCACCCTGGACTCTTGTACCACTCCCAAAAGCTGAATGGGAAACTATTTTTTTTTCATTTCAGTTTTTAATGAAAGTTGCATATGTAAGATTATTTTATTCTTGCGTCTTCTCAATCGTTTCTTCCTTGTATTTGTTCTTCACCTTTCCTACTTGACGAGACTTGGCTTTCTGTTCCAGGATCTTTTTGTGGTCTTCGTCCAGTTTTAGCCTAGTGATAACCACCTTGCTGGGGTGAATGCCCACATGGAATGTGCCACTGGCCTTTTCTCGCTGCACCTGTTCAATGTGGATGATGTATTTCTTCCTGTAAATCTGGACTACTTTGCCGATTTTCTCACCCTTGTAGTGTCCTCGCACAATTTGCACTTCATCATCCTTTTGGATAGGCATAGATCACTCATTGTACTTCTGTCTCAGCTCTTTGGAAAGGGGAGAAGACATAATCTTCCGGCGAATATGGGAAGGGGCATTGAAATGCCTTTTCTGGTTCTTGCTCCCATCAGAAGTCACAAAGGGATTGAACTTCATTTTGGCCACTTAGCTACAGAGGCATATTTCAAAGATAAAAGTCATTAGGGGAGAAAGCCAACAAGTGGCTCCAAAAATGCCTAAAAATAAATGTAGGAATATGAGAAACAAGAACAAGGAAGACAATATGACTACCGCAAAGGAGCACATCCACACTTCAATATTAGAATATGAAGACATAAAGATTGATGAAAATTCAGAAAAGAAATTCAAAAGAATGATCATAAGATCATTCAAAAACAATGAGGGGAGCAGCACTGTGTTGTAGTGGGCTGAGCCTCTGCCTGCAACACTGGAGTCCCATATGGGTGCCAGTTAGTGTCCTGGCTACTCCCCTTCTGATCTGGCTCTTTGCTATGGCCTGGGAAGGCAGTGGAGATGGCCCAAGTGCTTGGGCTCCTGTACACATGTGGGAGACCTGGAGGAAGCTCCTGGCTCCTGGCTTTGAATCTGCCTAGCTCTGGCCAATGGTGCCATTTGGAGAGTGAACCAATGGATGGAAGACCTCTCTCTCTCTCTCTCTCTGTATCTCCTTCTCTCTGTCTGTAACCTTACCTCTCAAACAAATAAATAAAGTCCTTAAGAAAATGAGAAACAAATTCATGATTTATAGAAATTAATACATGACAAGGATTAAAATTTTTGTGAGAGATAGAGGTATTGAAATAAATCTGAAATATTAGAAATGAAGAATTCAGTAAGTCAAATAAAATATACAGTGAAAAGACTTAAAAATATACTTGGTGAGGCAGAAGAAAGAATATATGAGCTATAAAGCACATCATTGTTTACACAGGAGCAAAGCATTACTTATAAATAATAACCATGAATGTAAATGACCTAAATTCTTCAATTGGACTGGCTGCATGGATTAACAAACAAGACTCATGTATTCACTGCCTAGAAAAATACTCATGTATTTCCTCACCAGCAAAGATATGCACAGACTGAAAGTGAAAAGATGGAAAAACATATTCCATGATGACAGAAAGCAAAAAAGAGCAGGAGTAGCCATGCTAATTACAGATAAAATAGACTTTAACAAAAAACCGTTAATAGAGACAAAGAAAGGCATTCTGTAATGATTAAGGGAGCTATTCAGCAGGAAAGTGTGACCATATAAATGTATATACACCCAACAACAAGGCAGTTGACAACATAAAACAATAATTAATGGATCTAAAGGGAGACATAGGCTTCAATACGATAATAAATGGGGAATTCAACATCCCACTTACATCAATAGACACATCAACCAGGCAAAAATCAACAAAGAAACAATAGATCTCATCTACACTATGGAGGAAACAAACTTAATTGACATCCATTTAACATTTCATCACACAGCTGCAAAATACACATACATTTCATCAGTGCATCCAGGTCCGTCCTTTATCTAGGATAGACCATACAGCATGCCATGAAACAAGTCTGAGCAAAGTCAAAAAACTTGAAATAACAGCATTTATGTTTTCTGACCACAATGGAATGAAGCTGGAAATTAACAACTTAAGAAACCCTAGAAAATATGAAAACAAATGGAAACTGAACCCATGCTCCTAAATGAACAGTGCCTCATAGAAGAAATCAAAAAAGAATTTAAGAAAATCCTAGGCACAAATGAAGATGACAAAACAACATATCAAAACTTATGGGACAAAGCAAAAGCAGTGTTAAGAGGGAAGTTTAAAACAATTGGTTTTCCTGCATCAGGAAATTAGAAAGACTTCAAACACATGATCCAACAATGCATCTTATAAACGTAGAAAAACAAGTTAGGAGGAAACAAATAAATAAAATAAGAGAAGAAATAAATAAATTTGAAACCAAAATAGATAAAGAAAATCAGTGAAATCAAGAACTGGTTTATTTAAATAAAGAAGCAAAACTTATAGACAATTAATGCAAGTAACCAAAAAAGAAAAAAGATCAAAATTAATAAAATCAGAAACTAAAAAGGAGATGTGTAACAATGGATATCACAGAAATAAAAACAATCATCAAGAATTATTAGACAGCTGTATGCCACCAAATTGGAAAATCTAGAAGAAATGGATAGATTTCTGAACATGCACAATCTACTAAAATTGAGTCATGAAGATATAGAAAACCTAAACAGGCCAATAAGCAATTGGAGATAAATTGATTGAATTAGTAGTAAAAATTCTCCCAACAACAAAAAGCTTTGCTGCTAAATTCTACCAACTCTTTAAAAAAGAAGCAATTCCAGTTTTTAAACTAAACAATTGAAATGGAGAGAATCTTTCCAAATGCCTATAAAGGCCAGCATCACCTTAATTCCAAAACCAGAAAAAGACACAATGAAGAATAAAACTATAAATCAGTATTCCTGATTTACATGGATGCAAAAATCTGCAAAAGCATACTAGCTAATCTAATCCAACAACACATCAGAAAGACCATTCTCCTGGCCCAATTGGGATTTGTCCCTGATGTTCATGGATGATTAAGTGACATGGAAATCGCTAAATGTGACATATCGAATGAACAAACCGAAAAATAAAAACCATATAGTTAACCCAATAGATGAAAAGAATGTACTTGGTAAAATATAATATCCTTTCATGATAAAAACCTTAAAAAATTGGGCATAGAAGGAACATTCCTTAACACTATCAAGGCAATATATGACAAACCCATAACCAACATCATACTGAATTGGGAAAAGTTGGAAGTGTTTCCACTAAGATCTGGAATAGATAAAGATGCTCACTCTCAAAATTGAATTAAATGTAGTTCTAGAATTTTCAGCCAGAGTCATTAGGCAAGAAAAATAAATCAAATAGATAACAAATTGGAAAGGAAAAGTCAAACTATCTCTGTTTGTATATGACTTTATCCTGAATAGAGGGAAATAAAAAATTCCACTAAGAAAATGTGGGAACTCAAATGAGTTAGGTAAAGTTGCAAGATATAAAGTAAACACTCAATAATCAATAGTTTTTACATGCACAGACAAACACATGGATGAGAAAGTCTTGTAAGATGAGTCCCATTCACAATAGCTACAAAAATTTTTATATAGCTTGGAATAAATTTAGCCAAGAATGTGAAAGATCTCTGCAATGATAAACATAAAACATTAAAGAAAGAGATAGAAGAAGATACAAAAAAATAGAAATAGTTTTCCATGTCTGTGAATTGAAAGAATTTATATCATCAAAATGTCTATACTACCCAAAGCAATTTACAGATTCAAGTGGTTCCCAATAAATGTATCTGACATTCTTTTTAGATGTAGAACCAACTGAGGCTAAAATTCATATGGTAGCACAAGAAAATTTGCATAGCTAAAGTAATCTTAAACAGTAACAACAAATCTGGAGGTATCAAATACAGAGAAGTTTTAGTCAAAACAATAAGTGAGAGGCACAAAAATAGACGCATAGACCAATTGAACAGAACATAAACACCAAAAATAAATCCACACATCTACAATGAACTGATCTTTGACAAACAAGCTGAAATCAGTCCCTGAACAAAGATAGCCTTTTCAACATACGGTGATGGGAAAATTGGATCTTCATGTGTGGAAGTACAAAACAAGACCCCTGCTTTACCCCTTATACAAATATCAACACAAAACTGATAAAGGGTCTAAATCTATGACTTGATGTCATCAAATTACCTGAAGAAAACATCAGGGAAACTCTGTAGACATTGGCATAAGCAAAGAGTTCTTGGAAATGACCCCAGAAGCACACACAATAAAGACAAAAATACACAAATGGATTTTATCAAGCTAAGAAGAATCTGCATAGCAAAGTAAACACTCATCAAAGTGAAGAGGTAACTGACAGGGAGAAAATATTTGCAAACTATGCATCTCATAAAGAATTAATATTCAGAAATTTTAAAAACTCAAGAAACTCAACAATAACAAAATAAACACTCTAGTTATGCAGTGGCAAAGGACATGAACAGGCATTTTTCAAAGGATGAAATACAAATGTCTGACAGACATATATAAACATGCTCAGAACCACAAGCCATTAAGGAAATGCAAATAAAAACCCAAGTCAGCAGATGATATGATTCTTTATTGAGGGGATCCAAAGAACTCTACTAAGAGACTATTGGAACTCATGGAAGAGTTAGGCAAAATAGCAGGATATAAAATCAATGCACAAAAATCAACAGCTTTTGTATACACAGACAATGCTATGGCTGAGGAAGAACTTCTAAGATCAATCCCATTCACAATAGCTACAAAAACAATCAAATACCTTGGAATAAACTTAACCAAGGACGTTAAAGATCTCTACGATGAAAATTACAAAACCTTAAAGAAAGAAATAGAAGAGGATACCAAAAAATGGAAAAATCTTCCATGCTCATGGATTGGAAGAATCAATATCATCAAAATGTCCATTCTCCCAAAAGCAATTTACAGATTCAATGCAATACCAATCAAAATACCAAAGACATTCTTCTCAGATCTGGAAAAAATGGTGCTGAAATTCATATGGAGACACAGGAGACCTTGAATAGCTAAAGCAATCTTGTACAACAAAAACAAAGCCTGAGGCATCACAATACCAGAATTCAGGATATGCTACAGGGCAGTTGTTATCAAAACAGCATGGTACTGGTACAGAAACAGATGGATAGACCAATGGAACAGAATTGAAACACCAGAAATGAATACAAACATCTACAGCCAACTTATATTTGATCAAGGATCCAAAACCAATCCCTGGAGTAAGGACAGTCTATTCAATAAATGGTGCTGGGAAAACTGGATTTCCATGTGCAGAAGCATGAAGCAAGACCCCTACCTTTCACCTTACACAAAAATCCACTCAATATGGATTAAAGACTTAAATCTACTACCCAACACCATCAAATTATTAGAGAGCATTGGATAAACCTTGCAAGATATAGGCACAGGCAAAGCCTTCTTGGAAAAGACCCTGGAAGCACAGGCAGTCAAAGCCAAAATTAACATTTGGGATTGCATCAAATTGAGAAGTTTCTGT